ACATTGTACCCATGTGGGGATTCGAACCCGGGTCTTCGGCGTGACGAGCCAACGCTTTAACCATTAGGCTACCCTACCGCCACCATTGTGATGACATTGTGCTTAGTATTATATACGTAACTCACAGAACGGACAAGAAGGAACAGAAATCGGTTCATTCACATCAACACCATTCACAAGGACGTAAAATAACCCATGTTTTATCAATATTTAGTTGACAGGTCCGTTTATGAAAAATAATTATGTTGTATTTTGTGTCTTCGGACAACCTCTTGCCGACAGATGCAAACATAATGTATTAAAAAGAATCAACATTAGTTTTGCGTTACCAACAAAACGTGACATGACAGGCTCAGTATGACATTCGGAGATTAAAGCGACTTTGTTTACCTGAATATTGCTGTGGTTTTAGAGAGACCAAAAGGCAGGTACATATTACATATCATATTGCAGAGTTAACTCGCAGGTTGTGTAAACACAGAAACAAGCAACACAAGGCATGTTTGTGACACGAAATCCCCCCACTTGTATGTAGTTACACGGACGGGGACCTAGACCTATCACTCATGAACTTGCATGTTTCCACTCACGACATCCTTATATATTCATTTCGAGTTATGGGAACTATCCTACGGGATGTACCTAAGAAATTGGCAATATTTTTCCAAATAATAATGTCTCATTTTAAGCAACGCCCCAAAAGATAAACAAAAGCGCACGAGTAACATTGTTTATATAACAGGTTAAATGCATGCACAGACAGGTGATCCTCGCAACCATGCGATATGTGGTGGTGGAATTTGGTTTAGCGTCGTGCTCGAGAATATTTCGCTCATATGACGACGTGCATGCGTGTGTGTGTATGTGCGGCTGCTTGTACTAGCCCAGACTTAAGCCGGTTTTATAGTGCTAGCCCACTGAGATACCATGCCGCAGTGAAGCATGAATACCCAACTCAGACACATTATACTGACTCCGAGCCGACCAGTCCCCATCGCCAGGCAGGGACCAACAAGTACCATATTTTAACGTCTTTTGGTATGACGCGGTCGGGGATCGAACCCGCGACCTTCCGCTCTCCCGGCGGACGCTCTAACCACTACACCACGGAGGTGGTCCCATGCGATATGTATACATTACCATTTTGTGTATCATACCGGGAATTCCCGTATTTAAGCCCTGGGCTTAAATACGGAAAATCACTGTTCTAGTGATGAAATTATTTTAACCATATTTAAGCCCAGGGCTTAAATTCGAAAATGATCAATATTTGGATAACAAGGAAAAGAATCAGGATTTTTAATAACTCTTTTAATTAGGAAACTGCTCTATAAATTCAAAATTTAAAGTTAAGAAAATGTTTACTCGAGTGAGTATATGTGAACTTGAATGATAAAGTTGACAGTCTTTAATGCAAAACACGAACTTCAAACTATTATGAGAGCACTGACTGACATCTAAGACAATGTCTAGTCTCTAGATCTACAGTGAGTATTTAGAGCCACGCTGTTTTCAGAGTTCAAAGCTGTGAAAATTTTCACTCGAGTGAGTATTTCAACTGTAAACGGAATGATGACGTTATAACAGTCTATTCAATGCAAACATGAACTTCAAACTAATAGTTTGAGTTGAGTTTAGTTGGGCTTTACGACACATCGGCATTATTCCAGCCATATAGTGACGAGATCAAGTCTGAATTCATGAACATTTTAACTTCAAACAAATATGACAGGAGTGACTGACTGATACGATCTATGGCAGTGACACTATTCAGAGGCAAAGTATCCTCGTTTAGAAAGGGACGTCATTCTAAACACCCAAGAATTAAATCCAAAATCCAAATTTAAGCCCTTGATATTTTAGCCCATGGGCTAAATTTCGCGTGGGCCTAAATACGGGAATTCCCGGTACATGTATTTAACATATATACGTTGTACATAATGACGATGTAAGCATTTACCTCTAATGCCGCAGAACGCGACCGGAGTAGAAATAAAGTTCAGTTCAGTTCAACCTAATTAGTAACGTAAACAGGATTTTACTTTTACACCCCAAGACAACCAGTAAGAATCCTAATATATAATCCTACCCATATATTGCGACCCTTAAATCAGTCACATACCCGTACTCCGATATTTAACAACAAAAGATACCTCTAACACCTTGCTGTCTCTCAGACCACTGACAACAGCTTATTATAGGACATATTTTTTCGTGTACTAAATTACTTCCATATTGCAGAGAAAACTGAAATACTTCAATGTCTGGAACACACGTGGAATGTTTATTGGCCTTTCGTCCATCACATAATTAAACTAACAACTATACAGTCCGTTGGATTTCATTTGAAACCGATGAATTGCTCAGAAACACAAAATCTATCACATTAAATCGGCAGACCAACTCTGATGATTTGTCTCATAATTTTGGACACCCGGATTAAAATTTTTTAACACACGATCAGTATTTTGTTGTCACTTTGTGCTATTTTGTACGAGGGGAGACCACTTGTTGGTAGAACAGCCAGGTGTGCTCGTTGCACGTGTGAAACTGAAACTTCACTATACACACGTTTGTTGATTACCTGGCTGTTCTACCAGCAAGTGGTCCCCCATCGTACAAAAATAGAGGTATGAAGCCGTAATAAATACGCATTTGAATGTGTCGATGAGATAATACTTTATCAGAATATTTGGTTAAGGATGACACATACAAATACGAGCATTTCAAAACGCCTTATCCTTTATGGGTGAGTGAGTGAGTACGGTTTTACACCGCTTTTCCCAACAATCCAGCAACACCGCGGCCAGCTATACCAGAACTGGACTTCACACATTGTACCAATATGGGAATCGAACCCGATGATTTGGCGTGATGATCGTACGCTCTAACCACTCGGCTATATAATTTAATCGCTCCAAAATCATCTGTGAGTAAGTGAGTTTAGTTTTACACCCTTTTAGCAATATTCCAGCAATATCACGGCGGGGGACACCAAATCCTTTGAAAAAGAGGAACACAGTCTAAACATGCAACATAAACGTAAACCATCCTTCAATATATTTGCGTAACGTGTTTTGTGTCTTGTCTTTAGAGAGAACTTTATGAAGTATTTTTTTTTTATATTTCAAGCGAAGAGAAGAATGACGAAAGACAACGAACAGAATGGAGAGGCATCCTCAGAAAATCAGAAGAAGACCAAAAATAAGCTACCCATAGACAGAGGATGGGCATGGGTTATTGTGTTTGGTGAGTTCAACCTCAATACGTGTAATTTTATTCAATGAGGGTAGCATTCACTCATTATAGTTTCGGTGCCCCATGTTTGAAATGTTAAGCTCTGCAGTTAACGTGATTCTCATTATCCGCACATTTGTCTTTTCCGGAGCAGAACTCTAAAACCGTTCACTATTTCTTTTCCAAACTTGGCACATAGATAGATCTGGTGGTGTACTGGTGCCTTTTGGTAGTTTTGGAATTCTGAATAAAATATTTTTGGCATTTCCATGGCAACAAGTTTGACTAAAACAGAAATTAGTGGTAGTGCATTTTTCCGGAGCTGAACTCTAAAACCGTTCACTATTTCTTCACCAAACTTGACACATAGAATGGTCTGGTGGTGTACTGGTTCCTGTTTGGTCGTTTTGGAATTCTGAATAAAATATTTTTGGCATTTCCATGGCAACAAGTTTGACTAAAATAGCAATTAGTGGTAATGCACTTTTCCGGAGCAGAACTCTAAAACTGTTCAATGTTTCTTCACCAAACTTGGCACATACACATGTCCGAACAACCGAGACAAAGTAGCCGTTTGAATCGAAATATCGTCGGCACTGTCGTAACTTTCTTTAAAAGAAGCTACAGATGGTTTAATGTTTCCGATTCGGGCTGTAACGAATCCATGTATGCTTGCTTCGCACGAACGCAACATTAATAGCATTCTTTTCTCCCCTATTTAATTTAAGTTAACTCGACCAGCTGTTTGTGCCATTTGACCTCATGCATATGTAGAGTAGCTCAGGTCAAGCTGAACAAGCTGTACACCGTAATTTATTCGTTCCATCTTTTCTTTTCTCATGCAACAGCCACGTTTTTCATCAACCTGATTCAAATTGGCATGTATCGGTCATTTGGCATCCTCTTCGTGGAATTTCTGGAGGAATTCAAAGCACCAACGTCCTGACGTCTTTAGTCATGGGTTTAACCACTGGGCTACCCCACCGCCCCCAGGCATGTGAAGAATCACAGTTAGAATTGGTCATTATTATATCGTGGTTGTGGTTGGGGGCGAGATATGAGATCGGATGGTCAGACAAGCTGGACTGGTTGATGGATGCTATTGTAACCTAGTGGGATTGTCTTGTCAGGTTCGGCTATTAGAGTCATATAGTTGGTTGTTGCTGAGGGGGCGGTAGGATTTTACGCGCGACTCAGAAATGTAGACGCAGAAAAAAAATATGGTGTCCGATGAGATGCACAATAATATTGTTTGTAACAGATTCATGACATGAAGTAAAGGTTCGTGAGACTGAAAGGTTCGTGAGACTGAATCCGGGTAGAATAGGTCTTCGGCAACCCATGCTTGCCACAAAAGGCGACTATGCTTGTCGTAAGAGGCGAATAACGGGATCGGGTGGTGAGGCTCGCTGACTTGGTTGACACATGTCATTGGTTCCCAATTGCTCGGATCGATGCTCATGCTGTTGATCACTGGATTGTCTGGTCCAGACTCGATTATTTTACAGACCGCCGCCATATAGCTGGAATATTGCTGAGTGCGGCGTAAAACTAAACTCACTCACTCACTGAAATTCGTAATTGGGGTCGTCTGGACCCCACGTTGTAAGGTAAGCTAAAACCCTGAAGTACACAACAGACTACAAATAAACACATACATGTATTTGAAATGGTGCTGATTTCGACCTGCAGATTCAGTTACTTATGCCTTTCCGGTCACCGAAAACTGAACACATCCGAAGAAGTGGATGAAGTGCTTCCCAATGTCTTCTGTTCCTCTAGATTCTTCTCTCGAAGAAGAGAAGATGCGTATTGCGAATTTGAACATTCTGTTAAATCTTATGCCGACAGTAAAACAACACACAACATCAAATACTTTTATTTCTATTGTCACCAATGAAAGCCTTACTCACTTCCAGCTTGTTCAGCTTGACCTGATCAAGTGAATACACATGTCCGAACAACCGAGACAAGGTCGCCATTTGAATCGAAATATCGTCAGCACTGTCGTAACTTTCTTCAAAAAGGAGGTTCAGATGGTTTAATGTTTCCGATTCGGGCTGTAACGAATCCATGTATGCTTGCTTCGCACGAACGCAACATTAATAACATTCTTTTCTCCCCTATTTAATTTAAGTTAACTCGACCAGCTGTTTGTGCCATTTGACCTCATGCATATGTAGAGTAGCTCAGGTCAAGCTGAACAAGCTGTACACCGTAATTTATTCGTTCCATCTTTTCTTTTCTCATGCAACAGCCACGTTTTTCATCAACCTGATTCAAATTGGCATGTATCGGTCATTTGGCATCCTCTTCGTGGAATTTCTGGAGGAATTCAAAGCACCAACGTCAGTGACGTCTTTAGTCATGGGGATGTATTCTGCAGCTTATAGTCTGACAGGTATGTGTGGGTCTCAGTTGACGTGTTTATGTCGTAAGTGTCTTGTATCTAAATACAAGTAACGTAAAGTTTTCATAGAGAACAGGTATGCTTCCTCCATAGGACTCGTGAAGATCCTGGTTAGAATTGATCTTCAGCAATCAGTGCTTGTCGTAAGAGGCGTACCCGTGAAGATCCGGGTTAGAATTGATCTTCAGCAACCAGTGCTTGTCGTAAGAGGCGTACCCGTGAAGATCCTGGTTAGAATTGATCTTCAGCAACCAGTGCTTGTCGTAAGAGGCGTACCCGTGAAGATCCTGGTTAGAATTGATCTTCAGCAACCAGTGCTTGTCGTAAGAGGCGTACCCGTGAAGATCCGGATGACCAGCGGTCTCCAGCACCCCATGTTTTGTCGTATGATGCGACTAACGGGATCGGATTATGAAGCTCGCTGACTTGGTTGACACCAAGTAGATCGATGTTCATGCTGTTGATCACTGGGTTGTCTGGTCCAGACTCGACTATTTACAGACCGCCGCAATAAAGCTGGAATATTGTGTACGGCCTTAAACAAAAGCAAAGCAAAAAACATAAGAGTCGAATTAAAAGATCGAGGCTATGTTTCACCAAGCCATCTTAGCGCTGGAATGATCATAGGCCAATGTTAAAGCATGGGTGTTCGATAACCTTATATCTAAGATCACTTCGTGTAACTGGGCCCAGGTGGTCAGGCTCGCTGAACTGGTTGACGAAAATGGTTATCATGTTGTGTGAACATGCCCAGACGATGTTCATCATATCAACCACTGTCTGTTGATTTTTATAGGATGTCGTGATAAAGTTTTGTCAGCGTTGAATTCAACAAAAACAGATAGAAATTCAGCCATGCCTTACAGATGTAATTGGTGTTCATCAGAATGCCACATTTGCGCAGTAAAATTCAGCGTAGCTAAGATACATATATACTTGCATTGATGGATATAGATTCAGCGTGGTATAAGGATGCTTTCTATGAGTTCACAACTCTGTTTGATGGTCGCGTCAATAAATATTAGGGGACACGTGGTCGCTACGTTGTGCGTTCTTGTCAGATAAACCAGGTGTAACTGATACCGCTGTTTTTAGATAGTTGGTAATAACAACAATATGGTATTAAGTTGCACCCATATGTATTTTGAGTGTCCCTTTTGTGAAACATTTCAGCTTTGTTTGGACTCAATTTTCTGCTGGAGAGATTCAGCATCCGGTTTACATGCCTGCTCGGTGGCATATTTATGTCCCTCGGAGGCATCCTCAGCTACTTTGCCATGAACCTTGAATACCTCATCTTCACTCAGAGTATCCTGCCAGGTGAGCTCCAACCTGTACATCATTATGTGACCCGTGAAGATCCGGGTTAGAATTGATCTTCAGTAACCCATGCTTGACGTAAGAGACGATTAACGGGATCGGGTGGTCAGGCTCGCTGACTTGGTTGACACATGTCATTGTATCCCAATTGCGTAGGTCGATGCTCATGATGTTCATGACTGGATTGTCTGGTCCAGACTCGATTATTTACAGACCGCCGCCATATAGCTGGAATATTGCCGAGTGTGGCGTAAAACAACCAACCAACCAACCAATCAACATAATTACGTTGGATAACTGCCATTATGTGACCCGTGAAGATCTGGGTTAGAATTGATCTTCATGTAACCCATGCTTGTCGTAAGAGACGATTAACGAGATCGGGTTGTCAGGTTCGCTGACTTGGTTGATGCAAGTCATCGTGTCCAAATTGCGTTGATCAATGTTCATGATGTCCATCACTGGATTGTCTGGTCCAGACAAGATTATTTACAGACCGCTTTCCTATACATGGGAAATTGCTGAGTGCGAACAATAAATGATAAATATAACATTTTGCTACCATTTGATTAACGACGTATCTTGAAAGCTATACCTTCTCATTACGCGCACATGACATTGTCTACAGTACCACATTGTTGATGAACCGCTAACCAAAGAGATAACAATTCCAGGAATGGGTTCCGCTTTACTCTATGGTCCGGGTATGGTCATCGTTGGGCAGTATTTCGACAAGAGGACTGCCCTTGGCCAGGCAATCAGCAGCTGCGGAGTGAGCATCGGCGGGATGTGTATACCCCAGATCATCAGATACCTCCTGACACAGTACGGACTACGAGGCACAATGCTAATCGGCGGTGCCATACAAATGGAGATTCTTATATTTGCTCTTTTGTACAGGCCAGCCCCAATTAGACCAAAGGAAGATCAAACAGAAGAGACCATACTCTGCAGTGAAACCCCGAGTGGTGTAAAACACGGCGACAGCGACTCCAACGTTTCCGAGAACGGCGCTCATGCAACTCCGAACACCATTGGAGGGATCATTGACACTCTGTCACAGTCAAGTGTTCTTAAATATGCCAGCAGTTGTGAAATTAATATCGTCTCAACCATGAGCCTCAACAGGAACGTTGTCGACATAGAAGATGTAACTGAGGAAAAGGCTTCTTGTTGTCAGAGGATAAAGAGGTCTCTGGACTTCTCGGCGTTCAAACGAGTTAATTTTTGGCTGATTGCTTTTTTCAACTTCTTCGGTGTCGTTGCTGTTACTTTGTTTGATTCCTTCCTCCCAGCCATGGTACAAGAAGAAGGTTTCACTGACATGGACGCGGCGATGCTGATCACTATATATGCTGCAGTGGACTGCGTCAGTCGATTTGCTTCAGGACTGATAGTTGAATCTGGTAAAATCAAGGCGCAGAATTTGCTCGCTCTGTTTATGTGTGGAACGGGACTGATGTGTCAGTTCACAAGCTTGTATGTCTCGTACGACCTGTTGATCATGTTTGTTGTGCTGTTCGGAATGTTTTCGGGAGGCTTCCAAGCAATGAACGCTGTGGTGATGGTTGAGTTCCTTGACATTGAGACGTTTCCAAAGGCTCTTGGATTTGTGCAGGTCTTCCATGGCGTCTCCCTGGCGATAATGAACCCTGTGCTTGGTGAGTAGATTTAGAGGATAGACTGAGTACTTGAGAGAAATTCAGCCATCTTTGTAAACGCAGCTATGTCGAATTCGTCCACAGTATATTTACATCACGCCATGATAAAAAGTATATTACAGCGCTAGGCAAGATTCACTCAGTACAGATATATATATGCTTGACGTAAGAGGCGACTAACGGGATCGGGTGGTCAGACTCGCTGACTTGGTTGACACATGTCATCGTATCCCAATTACTCGATGTTTATGGTATTGATCACAGGATTGCCTGGTCCAGACTGTATTCTGACTGAGTTTGGTTTTACGCCGCTTTTAGCAATATTCCAGCAACATCACGGCGGGGGACACCAGAAATGGGCTTCACACATTGTACCCATGTGGGGATTCGAACCCGGGTCTTCGGCGTGACGAGCCAAACTGTATTCTTTACTAAACCGCCGCTTTATACCTGCCATATTGCTGAGTCCGACGTTAAACAACAACAACAACACGAAACAAACAATCCAGATATAGGTATGCTGTGAAAATATGAATTTGTCGATATGTCTCTTTTGGGAGCTATGCCGGGTAGTTAAGTGGTTAAAGCGTTCGCTCGACATGATGTATTCGATTCCCCATTTGGGTACAATGTGTGAAGCCCAATTCTGGTGTCTCCCGCCGTGATATTGCTGGAATATTGCTGCTTAAGAGCATACCCATTCACTTTGTGGGGGTTTAATTCCAGGGGCTCTCCGGGACATCACGGGTACTTACTACGCATCCTTCAATCTACTGGGTTCTACAGCAATTGCGTCATCCCTATTCCTTCTGGCAGAACCTTTGACAAGGAGGTGGATGGACGCAAGGAAGGTCAAGGCCAAGGAGGAAGAACTGAAGGCTTTGAACAAAGTAACTGGTGATGAGGTTATATGATAGTGCTTGAATGTATAATATTTTTTGACAAACAAATATTATTTTGCCTCAAATACAGTGTGTGGTACAGTCTGTGACACAGGTGTCCAATACGTACATGACGTCGTCAAGCCCGGTGACGTAACTTTATATAATTGACGTCGTAGGCATACTTATGGAAACAAATATATTATTATTACCTTCAATTGCTCCCTAAATTTGAAATCCTCAAACATGGCTCAAATGTCTACCTGGGTCATGCAATTTGTTATAGGTACAGGTCTGTGATACTTTATGGTATGGTTTAGAAGTCCGTTATAGAATCAGCGTCGATTTGTGTGTCCTTTCATCTATGATTTTGGCACCGTATCCATGACATGTACGGCATGACTACAGATCCATTAAAATATCTACGATCACATTCTTGTTAGTCATGTTTCGTCTGCCTTGCAATGATTGTGTCTAAGAACCTCACCATGACTTCAAACGTTCGGCGCATAATTTGACAAGAGACGCAACGACCCACAGATTTAATTTAGTGTGACACATCAGAGGTAGAGTTTGTATGGGAAATACGTCACTCTCGTCCATCGGTTCCGGAGGAACAATTTAGCAGAGCTGGAATTCGAACACATTTCTGGGAAGCACGATTAGAAACGCAGCTCTGTACAGCTGAAAGACTGCAGGATCATCCATATTCTTGCCCATGTTCTGAAATACCTACATGCACTTTTTCAATAGTATCCTTATGCAACTGAGTGGAAATGCAAAAGTACATGAGCATCCTACAGTATCTCTGTATTTCTATATACCTGTAGTAGATAAACTGTAGCTGGAACAGGCCAAATCTTTACACGCGAAGATCTGGGGCAGAATCGTTCTTCAGCAACCCGTGATTGACCGAAGAGACGACAAACGGAATCGGGTGGTCGCAGTGTTGGTTGACACATGTCATCGTATCGCACATCATGAGCTTCGACCTTGCATGTGATATGACATATGTCAATCAAGTCAGAGATCTCAGCCACCCGATTCCATTATGTCAAAACATCAACGCAATATCTCCTATTATCAATCAGGCAATTGAAGCGAGTATTTATAAAAATATTTATTCAGGTATTCATATTTTATATCCATACATGCATTAGCATACTCACAAATGGTATACACAAGCTAAGAATACTGCTATAATATGATACAATATTTATATCTACAATCATGTCAGGACTATACAACAACTGTAGGAACATGATGGACGGGTTGGTCCTGCGTCGATGGCGTGTACTTAATGGCATACATGTAATTTAAACACAACCATTTTCATGGTCACCCGGGATTTGGTACAATATTAAGAAGCGGCATGCGTATACAACAAGCGTACGACGTTTTGACGATCGAGGTCATATTTTTATCACCATTACAAAATTTCGTCCCTCGATTTCACTGTTCAAACCTTACTCTAGTCGCCGAACTCTTTCTCCAACGTATGCACATTTTATCAGCCCTAACTATGATATGCAGGAGGTTAGTTTTTGATGGATGTATGCGTGTGTATCCATCCATGTATGCGTGTCCATCCATCCATGATGTCTGAACTTAGCACTCTCCTTTGTTGCACACGTTGCTCAAACATACCGATCCAAATTGTTGTGTATGTGCTTAATTTTCTGCAATTAAGTCTCCAATTTCGATGACAAAGGCATTGGATAAAGCTAGACAATATTTAAACTTCAATCTTAGACAGGGACTAACTAACAGACGAAGCTGGATTACCAATGTGAACTAACTTTAACAACACACGCCAGAACAGTCCGACATCCCAACTGTTTTGGGTTAAATCGATGGGTGAGCTTTGGACTTAAGCAACTTCAATATAACCTTTGCTTCAATGGTGAGATGAAAAAGTTTGACGAAGAAGGTGGATAAAGACAATGGCGTCATGTTAGCATCATGATGATACATATGAACACGCACTGATGGGTCCAACAACAGTTGGTTGCACACAAACTAATTCACTCATTGCATTGATAAGGCGTGGCCATGAAGAGTCCAGGGCCCCGTTCCTCAAAGCGATCGTAGCGCTACGACAGTCGTAACTCCCATGCTTTAACATAGACTTACGACTGTCGTAGCGCTACGATCGCTTTGAGGAACGAGGCCCAGGCCGTTGTATGTAGAAGAAGGAGGGCAGTACCTGAAGCCCGAGATTGTCCAAATCTTCCGTGTTACACTGCGAGGGTCCCTTCAAGAAGTTTAATCCATAAAATATCACATTTTATGCATTCATGTACAGAATGTCGTCCTTTAACGGGGATGGTAAGTGACCGTTCGTAATTTATGCCTAGATGATGATTTTAACGGGGTCACCAGTTTTGTGCTGGGGAGGTAAGGGTCATCAATTTTGTACACATGTACTGGGGTGGTGGGTGGGGGTGTGTCATTGATATTGTACATGACCTAATATGAACGGTCCCCAATCTGATGCAATTTCTCCAAGGGGAGATGACTCATGCTTTACCTTTTTCGGTAATATAGAGTTTTGCCTGATCGGCTGTGATGTCGAGAACTTCACTTTATGTGATGGATGGCAGACAAGATCGACCTGACAGCCACACAATAAGATAGAGACAGGGTAATCGTATTGTGAGCACTTGCCAGTCACTCAGTCACTAAGACAGACTGAGTGTGATGAGACACAGAGCCATTAGAACGGAGACGTGATGTGCATGTGCAGAGTCTGTGCACGTCTCCTCTACTTTGGAGGGTCTGTAGTTCAGGATCCAGTGGTCCACGATCTCCTCCAGGATGGTGAGAGGCATTGGTCCGTTCTCCAGCACCACGGAGTGGAATTCCCGGATGTCAAAGAGCTCACCTGGAAATAGTACAAAAAATTGAAAGGATTGTTTTTCATTTCCAGCACGTATATATTCCAAATATATACTAAAGGTGATCGGGCGATTATATAAACATGTAATGAAAGTCCTTGAATCGCATTTTGAAGCGAGACATACAAAGACAGGAAAATGCAGCATTTTCCTTGCATAAAAGCAATAATTTATGGATGTCAAATTCTTTAATTTGAGGAACACGTTTCGGTGGATATTCCTACACCTTCATCATTCCCCTGATGAAGGATGAAGGAGTAAGACTGTAGTCCGAAACGTCATGTTCCTCAAATTAAAGACGTTGACATCCATAAAGTCTAGCTTTTATGCAAGGAAAATGCTGCATTAGGTCGTGGGTTTTGTCATTTCTGACACACAGTTCGGAAGATGGTATTAGTCTTTTTTTGTGGGGGAGCTTATTTACGTTTTTTTATGTGTACTATTTACACTATATCCTAGTTTTAATATATTGCAGAAACAGCTTTCAATTATCCCTGAACAGATTACTGACTACATACTTTGTTGTTCAGACATGGTAGTTCATCGCACTTTCGGTCTTACGCATTATGGCCGTCCGAAGTCACATATGACGTCACGAGTGTAAAAAGGTCACGTGAGGTAATGGCCGAAGCTGCGGTAGCAGAAACTGTTTTCGCAATTAAATTATAAATAATAATACTTTTGCATTAACAATAATTTATTGGAATACATGTTTCTGATGACTTTATCTTTAACCCAGTCAGTTATTGCAATTTTCCAGTATTTTTCTTAAGACTTCCTTATTCGGAGCAACAATATTGTTTTCGGAAACACATAAAATATCCTTACATTCTGAATCCGGAACAGAAGGTGACAGTGTAGTCTGCCTCACGGTCCCTGAACCACATTATTTTCCCTACTGCCTGGCCCTCCCTGCAACGCTAAAACCCTAAATGAAATAAGTCTAGATTTCCTCAGGTTCTAAATCTCCCATCTCACTGGGGCTCTTTTCAATTTAATTGGGTTTACTTGTTACTATCAAAATTATATATTTTCAGAGACACCCCATTAGTCTAGTGACAGTGTCTCCTTGCTATGTTTTTTCCCCGAATGCATCATTTATAGAAATTGCAAGTAGAAGGATATGTAGAAGGTGCAAGTTCTTTCTTGTCATGTTCCTACCTAATGTATAATATGTCGAAGAAGCAGGCTCCTTCTTGTACCGTACTTACCTAATGCCTCCTCTGCCCTCTTCCGCAACTCTTTGATTTTGATTTCGCCAATCTTGTATGCGCATGCCTGACCTGGCCACGTGATATATCGGTCGACCTCTATCGTCATTTCCACCCGGGAGAATGATGTGTAGTTGAGCATGTACTGAATCGCTTCTTCTCGATCCCATCTGGCAACAACACAGTCACGAATAATGACTCGTAGGATTCAGAGTGAGTGAGTTGGGTCTATCGAATACTATATCAGCCATGCCACTGTGAGTCAGATAGGCATGGGGAAACTGCCCCTAGACGTCTTAGTGCTAAAACAATGCTGGTCGAAATCGAGACGATTAGAAACATGACCAGAGGGCCACAAGGGACACAACTCTGCACATACATTTGTTGAAGTATGAAACTGGCTTATGCCTGGTAGATTCACATCAATAGAATAAACCAGGGAGCTTTGCATAACGCTTGCATTCACAAAAGGCATAGAAATATTCATATGAATACTACCCTGACAGGGCGACGGGTTAGCCTAGTGGTTGGAGGGTTCGGCAAACATAGGTTCAATTCTGCCCCGTAGGTACAATGTACGAAGCCCATTTCAGGTTTCCACCGCCGTGACATACTCACTCACGACCCTGACACCCTTGTCACAGTTGAGGTGATAGCCCTGGCGTACAGACGCCGTAATGTTCAAGGAAAAGAACGGCAATTGGACACTTCAGCTTACCCATAATAATGCAGTCCTGAATCCACGACCAGTCTACAAGCCCGGAACATCTCTAGGCTGTACCGGCCCATGCTGAAATACAGGGTACACACTGACGTGAGTCACAAGGTTAGTACAGCCTTTGCGGGGAAAGGGGTAGATCCACAGAACAACAGTGAACTAGCCAGTGCAGAAGAACGTTAGATACAGTATATGCTGTTGGCGAGTCTGCTTTGAGGTGTTAACGAGAGGGAAGTACGTACCTACAGTCTAAGAGGTAAGGGCACGACTGGATGTACATACATTTGGTGGGTGTGATGATCCTCAACGATGGAACGTATGTACATTGGGCGGGTGTACTCACAGTTCACTATGGGTGATACATACATTGGGCGGGTGTACTCACAGTTCACTATGGGTGATACATATATTGGCAGGGTGTACTCACAGTTCACTATGGGTGATACATATATTGGCAGGGTGTACTCACAGTTCGCTATGGGTGATACATATATTGGCAGGGTGTACTCACAGTTCACTATGGGTGATACATATATTGGGCGGGGGTAACCTCCCATTCCCCCTACATGCCACTACCCCTACAGCTTATAACAACATAGTTTATGGTCTGTTGCATAACTAATCTCCTGCCTGTTACCTATTCCATACAGTGGACTGGTCCACTTAAGATGCACAACATGACACAAGACAGATTTTAAAAGTGACTTTAATACATGTGTTATCACAAAGTACCACATCATTGAGATCAATTGTCAAGTTTTTCAGTCTATTTACATTCAGTGTTTTCATATCATCATATAAGGATGAACAAAAGATCACATTATCACAAGTGTTTCATATCAACATATCATATCATCCTTGAGCAATCGGAAGAGTCTGGAGTAGGTTGTTGTCTGGCGGTCCGGAAGAAGGGCGAAGATGAGGGGATATGTTGAGCTGCCACGTCTTGCATGGATGATGTATACTTGATTCCACAGTGCAGGACAGGCTGTGAAAGTTCCATCCATGTAGAGGTTGTCAGCTGACTGCAAGGCTTCAAGACTCTCTTGTGTTCCGAAGGCCAAGATCTTGTCGTCATGGCCGTCCGCAAACAGGAGGAATGGTCTACCATCTGCTGTCTGCGTCCAGGGATCTTGGAGGTCGACTTCTGATCTCGTCTGTGGTAAGACAGGAATCGTCTTCTGGCGGTGGCGGTACAGGGCACTGCTAACAGATGGAAAGGAGGGCATGGTACGTGTCTCGTCATCAGTCAGGTTGGTAAGCTCGTTGTTGTAGATGGTGCGCATCGGTATTGACTCCTCCCTGGCTCTCTTCCTCAGGTTGCTGACAAACCGGACCTTCTGGCTATCCTCTGGTGGGTGATTGTGTTCAGTCGTATTTCTTACCACATCGCCAACAGTTGTGACTCTTCCTTTGCATGTTGACTGCACACACTTCCAGTGTACACAGGTCTGTCGCTCAACATTCTTAGTGTGAAGATATCCATCCAACAGAACTTGACGGCTACCTCTCCGTGACATAACAAACTCAACATTGCGAAGACCAGCCATGTTGATGCCATGTTTGTTTCATGTCAGCACTTATATACTGTATGGAACAATCTCAATTTCCTGTATCATCTCCACGTTTTATTTCTCTCAACTTCTCAACATTGTAATATATGTAACATTAAAGTGCACTATAACAACTTTTCTTAACAACATTTAGCAATCACAACACTTTTCCAATTGTATGTTTCTTCTACTCAGGGTTGAGGTTTGTTTTCATCATGAGACCACTAATTTCCTTGCCACAAAAGACTAATCACATTTATGCATCCCTTGATCTCATCTATGCTCCATGCACTAATCCCTCTTTAGGATTAGTCTATTATATCAGACAGGTAAATGCTAGGTGTTGTTTTAACTAGCTGTAGGGTACTGGAGTGTAGGGGTAGTGGCATGTAGGGGTTGAACCTGGGTGGGTGTACTCACAGTTCGCTATGGGTGATACTCACAGTTTACGATGGGCGATGCATACATTAGCACGTTGTGTTAACGGTTGACGTTGGTTGATATACTCACAGTTCACGGTCGTGCTCATAGAAGTTAAGCTCTTCTCCGAGTGATTCAGCGTATAGTGCCCAGCCCTGTCGGAACAATAAGACTGTGTAACCGTCGCATTACCCTCAGAGCACATAACTGCATATTGTTTACCGTCTATAAAATAACTGCACCCACTTTTTTAACACTAAGCTCTACATAGTTAACAGACTGAGTAACAGATTCAAAGCCCATATAGCACAAACGTGCACCTTATGTTAAACATACCCGTGAAGGTCCGGGTTAGAATTAAAAACTAAACTCACTCACTCACTATGTTAGACAATCGTTTCACCTAAACAGTACCTCTACATAGTTTACTCATTGCGTAAAATTGGCATCACACATCAAAATATACAAAAATATACTCTTTTCAATGTTCAATGTTCAAGCAGAGACTCTTTACGCAAACAGCCACTTTAATCTAACCTTAGGGACCGTTCAAAGTATGTAAATTTACGTACAAAGTAAGTGACCCCCTTTCATATCATGTACAAAATCAATTACCCCTCCCCTTCCCATGATTTGTAAGCATAATATTTAAATATTTTTATGTACAAAATTGTTCCCCCTCAGTACCTGTGTACAAAATTACCTACCCCCACCACCCCAGAACAAAATGGGTGACCCCCTTAAAATCATCATCATCACACTCCACCCCCACCCCACCTAGCCATAAATTATGAACGGTTCCTTATGCACTTGATACATGAGTAACCATAAAAATGGTATTCATGGCACCAATCAACCATTTTGCAAATCATGGCACGGGTCATTGACAAGTACACAACACCTGTCAATAGCAGGTATGGGATCCACAAGATGCAGTGACATACTGAAACCTAGGATCCATGCTTACAATAAGCTAAGATATCTAAACCAAATTAGACCCCGCATCATAATTTTATTTGAATCAATGATTTGAACCTTAGCAAAGTGTGAGTAGTATATACATGTATTAAGCACAGGGGTATTATGTAAACCTGAATATTCTGTATTTGGGCCGAAGGCCTTATACTGAATAAAGTCTGTCTGTCTGTCTGCCTGTCTGTCATAGTTTACCCGTTGAGCAGCAGTCGCTTCACCCTAACAGTATACGTACCAGGTTCAACATAGTTTACCCATTGTGTAACAAATTGCGTCACCTGAACAGTGTTCGATGCGTTCTTAAAATCCCCATTTGACCGCCAACAGAGTAATGCTCGTGACCAACATTTTGCCTGGTATTCAGTACGTTAAAGTCTTCTGAAGTTTTGCAGTATGTTTACAGAGTATGTTCAATAGTTACAACACGTAAAGTTGTCAACTTCTCACCTCTACGTATGCTGTATAAAAGGGGAAATGGAACGGCACCTCGTAATACCGAGAAAACTCCGTGTTCCGCCGGAAACTCGGTAGGCTTGCTTTCAGGGCGTAGCTAGCCTGTAATTCCAGAAAGTGACGTCATTAAACAATTGAACGCGACGTCAATGAACAGGCAGTCACACTTGCTTACCGTGTTTTACTGCACAAATGTTCATGAATAAAATGGATAATAAAGAAATTATTACACTCGCAAGTGTGCCACACGACTTATACGAAACTCGTTCAAAATTGTGTATTGCCCTCGCCCTCGCTCGGGCTTACAATAAGCTTGCTCTTGTAATAATCTCTATATAACATCTACTAAACCCGGATCCACTGGTTGTTAGTTCGAATCCCTGATTTTCAGGCTACGATCTAATTGTTCTGTTCTTCAAAGACGATCTGCGTCACGTGTCCTCCTGACACCTCTTACGATGACACGCCGTTATATAACGGTAATTTTCATCAAACCACCATGAAGACCCCAAAATACAACAATAGTAATTTAATACCTGAGGACAGCATGAGCTAAACTGACGTTACATTATTCCGAGTATCAAAGATTGGTTTTAGTACATATACTGTTCTGGCATAGTTCCGACAAAGGTGAGGTTTGACGTCTGTGTGACGTACATTACCTGCAGGTGGTGGCCGGGTATTGATTCATGCAGCGTGATAGGCACCATGACGTACGTTCCCCTGTGTCAAAACAGAACACGCGGTTAGAAGGATGCCGTATACACCTGTGTCGATATAGAACAAATAGCTAGAGCCATGACGTACCTACCCCATGTGTCAACATAGAACACACGGTTACGATATGGCGAATACTCGTGTGTCAATATAGAAGAAACAGCTAGCTAGAGCAATGACGTACGTAACATTGTGTCAGCGCAGAACAAACGACTAATGTCATGACGTGTCAACACGGAAAACAAGTTTAAAATCATGCATGACGTACGTCCCCTGAAACAACAGAGAACACACCGCTAGATCCATGACGTATGCCCTCTGTGTCAAGACAGAATACAGGGTTAGTATCATGCATGACGTACGTCCCCTGAAACAACAGAGAACACACAGCTAGATCCATGACGTATGCCCTCTGTGTCAAGACAGAATACAGGGTTAGTATCATGCATGACGTACGACCCCTGTAACAACAGAGAACACACAGCTAGATCAGATATGCCATGTCGTATGCCATCTGTGTCAAGACAGAATAGATCAGACGTATGCCCTTAGTATTAGTATCATGCATGGCGTACGACCCCTGTAAGAACAGAGAACAGCTAGATCCATGACGTATGCCCTCTGTGTCAACACAGAATACAAGGTTAGTATCATGCATGACGTACGACCCCTGTAACAACAGAGAACACACAGCTAGATCCATGACGTATGCCCTCTGTGTCAACACAGAATACAAGGTTAGTATCATGCATGACGTACGACCCCTGAAACAACAGAGAACACACAGCTAGACCCATGACGTATGCCCTCTGTGTCAACACAGAATACAAGGTGAGTATCATGCATGATCATGCATGAGAACAACAGCAGATCCATGACATCCCTCTGTGTCAACACAGAATACAAGGTGAGTATCTGCATTGCTAACATTCAACTACAACATGCAGTCATGACGTGCTATAGTTAACACAGAGAACACAGTTAGAACAATGGCACAAGACTCTTGGCCTGGACAGTAGCAACAATATTCATGTATTAAAGATAAGTTTTCACCGTATAGACGTCACATCCATGTTCACACTCTTAATAGCAAACATTCTGGACGATACACACAAAGAAATTGTTCAATGGAAACAAGGAGAGATGACAAATGACCTCATCAACACAGAATCAGTATTGGACCGGAGAGTCAGAGTAATGTTCATGTAACATCAGAGGTATCACTGTACAGTGAATAAGCACAGAACTAGCCAGCAACACGTACGTTTCTTTTGGTCGGTACAGATTGACGAGGAAAATACCGGGTCTTGAGCCATCCTCGGATCCAGATATATACTGTCCCCCCGGACCATCATACGGCATGGGCTCCACCCTGAAACACACCCACGGTGACGTGCAAAGGTACAGTACAACCAGAATTTATTGGGAATTTAAGATTGCATTTTAAAAAAAAATATTTCACTCATTACTCACGTATTAAATGTGAATATTAGCAGAACATAACTCCAGATTCAAAGACAGGTGAACAGTTAGCATTTTGTCAAGTCACCATGGGCAGCAATGCAGGTTTCAATGCGGCGGGGCATACTATTGATCAAAGAAGTTAGAAAGTCGTGGTCCATGCTGTCCCAATATCGGACCACCTCTTCTTTCATTTCAGCAATATTTGTCAAATTTTTCTTATTGACACTTTCCTTCATAAGTCCCCAAACATTTTCTATTGGATTTAGGTCAGGGCTATAGCTCGGCCAATCTAATAATGTCATATTTTGTGTCCGAAACCAGGCCTGTGAATGTTTTGAACGATTTTTGGGTCGTTGTCCTGTTGGAAAATCAAAAAATTTCCATAGAACACATGAGCAGATGGAAGTAAATGTCCCTCGAGAATATCTGTGTACCGCTCACTGTTCACATTCCCTTCAAATACACAGAGGGGCGTTGCCCCTAACACAGATATGCCACCCCACACGTTAAATTTCGGACTGTACTTTGGGCGCAGATACAAAGGTTTTTCAGTTTTTTTGGTCTAGAATTGCAGTGTATTAGGAAACAGCCACACAGAACTTTCATCTGAGAAAATTACATTGTCCCAGGTAAAATTTCTATGCTGTAAGCACCAGTTCAACCTTCGCTCCTTTTGTTCAGGTTTCATGATCGGTGATCGAATTCCTCGACTTTTCTGCAAACCCATTGCATGCAGCTCAGTTCTAATTGTCTCTTTACAGACCGCCACATTTCCTCTATCAAGTATATCCAGCCTTAAGTTTTCTAAACTCCTTCGTTTGTTTTTAGAAACATGAATACCAAGCCGCCTCCTGTCACCGACAGTACATTTTCTGGGCCTACCTGCGCCTCCCTGGTGCTCAATGCCATATCCATTTGCAATATTTTTCAAAACACGATAAACAGTGAACAAAGGGATGCCTGTTCTACTTGAAATCACTTTAGCTGATCTGATGTCCTTGTTATAATACTCAACTTCCTCTTCTCTAAATCATCCGTACTGAGGATCACTAAAAATTTCGTCTGCTAGCAAGTAAACAAAGGGGGATAACTCTTCACAAACTAATGAAAAAGGATTAACGGAGTTGTCTCTCTTGAATAAAACCAAGCACTTGATAGCTGGTCAAGGTTGTTTATACTAGAAATCCAGTTAAACATATTCCTAAAATTCTCAATAATTCTTGCTCATACTATGTTAACTCTTTCATAACTCATAACCGCAACACTTTCATGCACTCTTTTTTGTGCTTTTACGCTAGTCAGAGATACGGTAGACATGTTGCGGGAAATGGTTTGGAAGTATATAATTATCAGTTAACAGCTTTTAAAGATGCAATCAAGTTTTACAACTTACTTTACTGGTAGATTTGGAAGATTATTGAATACTTCAGGCAGTCGTGGTCTCACGCGCTCATTTACAATTTTCTGGTATGCCTCCAGCAGTTCCTCCTGTGGGAAACAACGAGAAGGCTGAAACTCGGATAAATTAGTAGATCTTTTTCTTTGCTGAGTTATAAAGTCTTATAAAATCACGGAATATGTTTGAAACAACAGGTACACAGTGAGCGTGATTGCGAACGATTTGTTTGTCCCATCCTACCTCTGTTTCCATATGCAATGAGGTGTCGTTCTTTAACATCGCAAAGTACTCTGCAACAGATCCTTTGAAGTTCTGTCTTTCCATGGCCTGAAGCAGTTAGCAATTAATATACGGTCAAACATCTGAGTGTAATTTTGTTCAGTAGGGTACTTCTTATTTCAAGAAAGATACCCGATATCCTTTTCGATCTATTATATTGTGTGTGGGTGGGGGGGAAAGGGGTGTGCAGCCTAGTGGCAAAAACTTTCGTTCGTTGCACCTGAGGCCCGCGGTCGATTCCCATATGGGTACAATGTGTGGCGTCCATTTGTCGTGTCCCCCGAAATGATATTGCCAGAGTATTGCTAAAAGCTAAGTAAAACCACACCCATGCAGGCATGCACTCGACCTCACAACATGTGACCAACATATTCTTTAACCCCTGTACGCTTTCAGCACCCTTGCGATCCTCCAACCCATGTTGTTGCAACCTATTTTCTGCATCAGCCCCTCTGGCCCATGTTGTGACGTCTCACCTGCTGCATTAATATAGCACCGCGACCAACATTCCAATGCTAGCACGTCTCAACTTCGGCATCAACCCCACGACACCCTAACCAATGTCGCCACGTCTCACTTTCTCCATCAACCCCATGAACCCCAACCCAATGTAGCCATGTCTCATCTTCTCCATCAACTACACGAACCCCAGCCAATATTAACACGTCTCATTTTATCCATCAACCCCACGACCCCCTAGCCAATGTTGCCACATCTCATCTTCTCCATTAACCCCAAGCTAATATTGCCGCGTCTCCTCAACTCCGTCAACCTCACGACCCCTAGCCAATGTAGCCAAGTCCCATCTTCTCCGTCAACCCCACGACCCCTAGCCAATGTAGCCAAGTCCCATCTTCTCCGTCAACCCCACGACCCCTAGCCAATGTAGCCAAGTCCCATCTTCTCCGTCAACCCCACGACCCCCAAGCCAATGTAGCCAAGTCCCATCTTCTCCATCAACCCCGCGATCCCTAGCCAATGTTGCCACGTCTCACTTTCTCCTTCAACCCAATGACCCCCTAGCCAATGTAGCCAGGCCCCATCTTCTCAATCAACCTCACCACCCCCTAGCCAATGTTGCGACGTCTCACCTTCTCCACCAACCTCACCACCCCCTAGCCAATGTAGCCACGTCCAACCTTCTCCACCAACCTCACCACCCCTTACCCAATGTTGCCACGTCTCACCAACTCCATCAACCCCATGACCCCTCAGTGAATGTTGCCACGTCTCACCTTCTCCAACAACCTCACCACCCCCTAGCCGATGTAGCCACGTCCAACCTTCTCCAACAACCTCACCTTCCCTTACCCAATGTTGCCACGTCACACCTTCTCCATCAACATCACCACCCCTAGCCAATGTAACCACGTCCCATCTTCTCCAACAACCTCACCGCCCCTTACCCAATGTTGCCACGTCACAACTTTTCCATCAACCCCACGACCCCCCAGTCAATGTTGCCACGTCTCACCTTCTCCACCAACCCAACGACTCCGAAGCCAATGTAGCCATGTCCACCTTGTCCATCAACTCCACGACCCCCTAGCCAATGTTGCCACGTCTCCCCAACTCCATCAACCACACGGCCCCCTTGCCAATGCTGCCACGTCTCACCTTCTCTATCAATCCCACGGCCCCCTAGTCAATGTTGCCAGGTCGCATCTGCTGCATTAACCCCCAGCCAATGTAGCCAGGTCCCACCTTCTCCATCAACCCAACGACCCCCTAGCCAATGTAGCCATGCCCACCTTCTCCATCAACCCAACGACCCCCTAGCCAATGAAGCCATGCCCACCTTCTCCATCAACCCCACGACCCCCCAGTCAATGTTGCCACGTCTCATTTTCTCCAACAACCTCACCACCCCCTAGCCAATGTAGCCAAGTCCCATCTTCTCCATCAACCTCACGACCCCCAACCACTGTAGCCACGTCCAATCTTCTCCGTCAGCCCCACGGCCCCCAAACCAATGTAGCCGCGTCCCACCTTCTCCACCAACCTCACCACCCTTACCCCAATGTTGCCGTCACACACCTTCCATCAACCCCATGACCCTCTAGTGAATGTTGCCACGTCTCACCTTTCTCCCATCAACCCCACCTCACACCCCTAGCCAATGTAGCCAAGTCCCACCTTCTCCAACAACCTCACACCAACCTCACCACCCCCACCCAATGTTGCCACGTCTCACCTTCTCCATCAACCCCATGACCCCTCAGTGAATGTTGCCACGTCTCACCTTCTCCAACAACCCCACCACCCCCTAGCCAATGTAGCCAAGTCCCACCTTCTCCAACAACCTCACCACCCCTTACCCAATGTTGCCACGTCTCATCTTCTCCATCAACCCACGACCCCCTAACCAATGTTGCCACGTCTCACCTTCTCCATCAACCCCACGAACCCCTAGCCAATGTTGCCACGTCTCACCTTCTCCATCAACCCCACGACCCCCTAGCCAATGTAGCCACGTCCCACCTTCTCCAACAACCTCACCACCCCTTACCCAATGTTGCCACGTTACACCTTCTCCACCAACCTCACCACCCCCTAGCCAATGTAGCCACGTCCCACCTTCTCCAACAACCTCACAACCCCTTACCCAATGTTGCCACGTCACACCTTCTCCAGCAACCCCACGACCCCCCAGTCAATGTTGCCACGTCTCACCTTCTCCACCAACCCAACGACTCCCAAGTCAATGTAGCCATGCCCACCTTGTCCATCAACCACACGGCCCCCTAGCCAATGTTGCCATGTCTCATTTTCTCCGTCAACCCCACGACCCGCCAGCCAATATTGCCACGTCACAACAACTCCATCAACCCCGCAATCCCCTTGCCAATGTTGCCACGTCTCAACTTCTCCAACAACCTCACCACCCCCTAGCCAATGTAGCCAAGTCCCATCTTCTCCATCAACCTCACGTCCCCATCTTCCACGTCCATCAACCCATCAACGACCCCCAAACCAATGTAGCCACGTCCAATCTTCTCCATCAACCACACGGCCCCCAGTCAATGTTGCCACGGCTCACCTTCTCCATCAACCACACGGCCCCCAGTCAATGTAGCCATGCCCCACCTTCTCCATCAACCCCACGGCCGCCAGTCAATGTTGCCACGGCTCACCTTCTCCATCAACCCCACGGCCGCCAGTCAATGTTGCCACGGCTCACCTTCTCCATCAACCACACGGCCCCCAGTCAATGTTGCCACGGCTCACCTTCTCCATCAACCCCACGGCCCCCAGTCAATGTTGCCACGGCTCACCTTCTCCATCAACCCCACGAACTCCAAGCCAATGTAGCCATGCCCCACCTTCTCCAACAACCTCCCCATCCCCTAGCCAATGTAGCCAGGTCCCATCTTCTCCATCAACCCCACGACGCCCTAGCCAATGTTGCCACGTCCCACCTTCTCCATCAACCCCACGACCCCTAGCCAATGTTGCCACGTCCCACCTTCTCCATCAACCCCACGAACCCCTAGCCAATGTTGCCACGTCCTACCTTCTCCATCAACCCCACGACCCCCTAGCCAATGTTGCCACGTCCTACCTTCTCCATCAACCCCACGACTCCCTAGCCAATGTAGCCATGTTCCACCTTCTCCATCAACCCCACGACCCCCCAGTCAATGTTGCCATATCTCACCTTCTCCATCAACCCTTTGATCCTCTCCACTTCCTGCAGTCCTATCTGATGAACCCTCTCTGGACTCATGTCTGTGGACAGATGCCATTCAAGACAGGCCTTGTAATAGTCCAGTCCGTAGTGTAGAGATCCTACACCCCATTTTGGCCTTGTGTTTGGGAAATATTCCTACAGGAAGACATATATGCATAGCAAGCTCGCAACAAATATAACAAATTCGATATCATTACCTACATTTTAAAACAATTTATTGGAAATGAAATCTTTCAGTAAAAGCATGTTAGAAAAGTCACAAAATCAATCAGCAGATTATCTTTTCATCGGAGGAGTTGAAAGAGTAAACTCACTATTTCCAGAAATGCCTTCAAGTCATGGAATGCTTGAAGTACACCTTGATATGCAGCGCGAGCTCTGTCTCTCAAGTCCAATCTGCGAAAATGAAGAAAATACCTTTGATCAAATCGTCTTCATGTCAAAACTGGACGCATTGGCAAGAATAACGTTTATATAATATGCAGCTTGGTACGTGCTGGGTAAGAGATAATTCGTTCCCTGGTTCGTATCCTGAAAGATTGATGTGAGCGAGTGAGTGAGTGGGTTTCGGGGAGTGAGTGCGTGAGTGGTTTAGCTAAGTTTTCTGGATCTTATTAAGAGATTGCGAGATAGGATGGTCTCCGGTACTCACTGTTCCTCAAGAATGTCGACAAAGGTGATGGCAGTTTGATCCATGGAAATGCCTGGCGTATAATATTATTTGCATGACATCATCTTATATCTGACAAATTGCTGATATCGCAAAACAAACCCATTCACTCTCTCAATACTCTTTTTTAACGAATCGTCTATTCCAATATATTTTAGATTGGTAACGTATCTCGGACAAGGACGTATAGTCAGTTTGGCTCAAAAGCTGACCGATGAATTGCAATCTAACTCGAAAACTAATAAACATATAATACTCAATGAAACGCTGATCATAATCAAAACATCAGATCTACTCTGTGATTTGTTTGCAGAATTTATGTCCTAAAAATAAAAAAGTTGTTTAACAAACTATCATTAAAATATTGACACAGTTCACCATTTGTTACGATGGACGAGTGCAGAGAAAGGGACAGCCAGGTGTGCGAGAAAGGATGGAGATGGCGCAGCACAGGTTAATGAATCAATAACGTTGTCGGCACTTGTGCACTTGCTTCTCTAACACCTGGCTGTCCCTTTCTCTGCACTCGTCCCTCGTAACAAATGGTGAACCGTGTCAAAAGTTTAATGATAGTTTGTTAAACAACTTATTAATTTTAGAATATAAATTCTGCAAACAAATCACAGAGTAGGTCTGATGTTTTGATTATGATCAGCCTTTAATTGAGTATTATACGTTTATTAGTTTTCGAGTTAGATTGCAATTCATCGGTCCGCTTTTGAGCCAAAAGGACTATAGATGATTACGTGACTTACTTGACTTGATCGTCTATTGGCAGCTCTTCAAGAATATCTGTGAATGGTTGGTAGAAGGCCGATTCTTCCGGGTCCACCAGCAGCCTCTCTATCTGCCCCGGCACACGATCCTGCAGGATCCAGGAAGACCAGGAATTATGCCATCTTCCTCCTTTGTACGACTTATCACAAATACACTTACACGAAGCTATCCATTCTCTGGATCTCTGTGGTAGCCTTTTGACAAACCAACACCAAACCGTGGACCCGTTCCCTAGTTTCCCGCAATTTCAAATTACCTGCCTTTGATTTATATTTGTCAATTTGATTGGCTACGCCACGCACCAATCAGAATGCGAATGACAAGTAAGCCTTAATGTTGGCAATGGTAACAACATGGCGGCAAGTCGCGTTGATCATGATCGGCGAGTTTGAGAGAAAATGCACATTGAAAAACAGGCTCACACGCAAAAGAAAAGCCCTAAGCTTCTTTGTCTTCATGTCCATTCAACCTGGCGCTGGCTACATACAGTTGGAATACAAATAACCTCATTACCATTTTCCCTTATGTTGAGCGTTGATTGATCGTAAAATGTTGTGGTATACAGTATATGTGCTTGATAGGGTTTAGGAAATAGTAAATATTTTTACTTGCCACTGACGCGTTGTGCGAGGTCCGATTTATTGTTATAGCAGTTCTGTACAGGTCTTTGTACTCGCTGAGCTGTAAAACATGAAAGTGAACATATATTGAGATTATCTTGATAGGGATAGAAGTGGGGTAATCTCCTGATTAAAGCGTTTGATGGTAATCGCTATATCGTAAGCATCGTAAGATGCGACTAAGTAGATCGGTTGGTCAGGCTCGCTGACTTGGTTGTATCCCAAAGGCGTAGACCGATGTTCACGATGTCAATCACCCGATTGCCTGACACAGACACGACTATTTACTGACGCCGCCATACAGCTGGAACATTTTTGTATGCGGTGTTCAACAACAAACTAAAAAAACTAACAAATACTACTGCTGAAATAAATACCTTGTTTTCGTTGTGTTTAAAACACCGTAAATATTTCCAAAACCAACCCAACCCACCCCAAATCCCCCAAAAACACAACCCCCAAAAAAACTGAAAAAGAAACAAAGAAACCAAACCAAAACAAAAACATAACAATAAAAAAATAAACTGTTATTTGACGCCTGTTACCACGGAAACATACCTGGAATGGAGTGTCCTGAAGACGGGCGATGAAGTTCTCATAGTCTCCGCGTGTGAAGAAGGGCGTGGCCTCTACGTCGTGGACCGGGTCCAGATGTATACCCTCCAGGAAGTTCAGAGGATTTAGCGACCCGAATCTGTGGACGAACTATTTACATCAGAAAAAGAAACAACCGTCATCGTATTTTATTATTTCTGCATTTTTTTGCATATGTCTTGTGGGTCGCGACTTCAATGTTAAGTGATACATGGTCACACGTTACTGAATATTCAAAATTATACACACATTTTACCATTGTGACTGGATGCCCAAGGATATACGGACACAAGTTAATGTTATGTGAATGATTTATTTGTAACTGAATATTCAAGATTATACACACACACTTTACCATTGTGACTGGATGCCAAAGGATATACGGACACAAGCTATTGTTGTGTGAATGATTCATTGGTCATAGAATATTCTAGATTATACACACACATTTTACCATTGTGACTGGATGTCCAAGGATATACGGACACAAGCTATTGTTGTGTGAATGATTGGTAACTGAATATTCTAGATTATACACACACATTTTACCATTGTGACTGGATGCCCAAGGATATACGGACACAAGTTAATGTTGTGTGAATGATTTATTTGTAACTGAATATTCTAGATTATACACACACACTTTACCATTGTGACTGGATGCCCAAGGATATACGGACACAAGCTATTGTTGTGTGAATGATTTATTGGTAACTGAATATTCTAGATTATACACACACATCTTACCATTGTGACTGGATGCCCATGGATATACGGACACAAGTTAATGTTCTGTGAATGATTGCCTGCCCCAAAAGATACAGACACGCATGATAGTGTATTGTGGGTGACGGGATGCTATAGAATATACGTGTCTTCGATCACAGGGGCTTGTAACGCTAGAAACTGACATCAAGGTATATACTGTCACTGACGGGGTCTTAGTAGTCTATATAAAAGGAAATGGACGACCTTGGCCTTAACCTGCCCCGCACTTAAACGAGTCAGCGATTTGATGGGACATATTTTATTTGTAGCCAATGAGCTCCCTTGCTCTTTTAAGTGCGGGGCAGGTTAAGGCCAAGGTCGTCAATGGCGAACGGGCACGACACAATTCTGTTTGCGATGATTAAATGTACGTAAACTCATTATGACAGTGAGATGTAAGTGTCTCTGAAAGAATGGCGACTAGCGCGCTGACAGGCGCCATCAGTTCAACATGTTTTGGTGAATGTCGTTTGTGTATACTGTGAAATATACAAGAAAATGGGTGAATTACCGCTACAAATTCTGAGCAGTGATTTTGGCTCGGAATCGAGAAATCACAATTTTTCGAGCTTCCGAAGACCCTAGTTACGAAGGTAGTCCTTCGATTTTTTTGCTGTATATCTAATTTTGTAGGTAAATCTATTGGTTTGAAATGTGTTAATTCTTTAAATGGGATAAATACAGTGAGCATTGTTGAAATCGCCCTGAAACGAACTTGGTGTGTTAACCTCGGTACATTCCTTTTATATAGTACTAAGACCCCGTAAGTGACAGTATATACCTTGATGTCAGTTTTTAGCGTTACAAGCCCCTGTGTAATCGATATGATGTGTTCCTAGCCAACCTGCTCCACTTGAAGCCTTTCACGTAGGTGGTCAACACATCTTTGAAGATACGGTAGTTTATGACGTCAGAGTCACACAGTTCGGCGGGATCTATCTGCTCAAGGTCGAAAAGGAACCCGTCTGCTATGTTCTGGAACAAAGGATATTGTAGCATCAACATGTGTTCCATTGATGATACTTCCGAAATAATGGGATAGCGTGGCTTGAATTCTCTTGAAGCATTTATTCAGAATGTGTCAACTCGCAAAAGACTTACATATCTCTCTATCATCTTTGACACATTGAAGGACTGGAGCCTGTCGTTGAAGCGGTACGTCCCCACGTAGGTCGCGAACTGCGGCGAGTCCGCCAAGCGCCAGGCATAGAAGTCCTTGAACAGTATTTGGAGGACAGAACCGGCATCGCCTGAAAACAATACACAAAGTATCAGTTACTACCCTGGATTCCACCTTAAAAAGTCATCGTGCATCTGGTAACTGATGAAAAGTAACATGTGTATGTAGCGGACACACAATTTCCGAGTCTCGTGCTGGGATTCGAACCACGGACCTTCTGATCCGAAGTCGGACGCCTTGTACACATGACCAAAGAGGTTAAGTCTGTCAGTGAGCGGACAAGGTAAGGGTGCAAGGTAAGATGTGGGATGACTCCACGCCCTGCTACATGTACATACAGATCAATGTCGCAATGCCCCTTTGTCGCACTTTAACACCACTCAGCCATACGGTTACACTACTAGATTACCACAAGTGTTAAACCACAAAGTGCCACCCTACCAAAAACACACTGTGGAACTATCGTACGATCATGCTGTCACGTTGTCACACTACACGACAACGCACTGTCACTCCATCAAAACAACGTGGCACAGTCATTACACGTACACTGTCACACTACCACACGACAACACAAACGCACTGTCACTCCATCAAAACAACGTGGCACAGTCATTACACGTACACTGTCACACTACCACACAACAACAGTAACGCACTGTCACTCCATCAAAACAACGTGGCACAGTCATGACACGTACACTGTCACACTACCACACAACAACAGTAACGCACTGTCACTCCATCAAAACAACGTGGCACAGTCATGACACGTACACTGTCACACTACCACACGACAACAGTAACGCACTCTCTGTAATACTAAAACACAAACGCACAGTGACACAAGCACTCTGTGACACTAACACACTTTGACACTAACACGCTAACTGTCTGTAGTACTAACACACTGTGACACTAACACGCTAACTGTCTGTAGTACTAACACACTGTGACACTAACACGCTAACTGTCTGTAATACTAACACACTGTGACATTAACACGCTAACTGTCTGTAGTACTAACACACTGTGACACTAACACGCTAACTGTCTGTAGTACTAACACACTGTGACACTAACACGCTAACGTGACACTAACTGTCTGTAGTACTAACTACACACAACTGTGACACTGAGTCACTGTGACAAACTGTCTGTCTGTACACTAACACACTGTGACACAACACGCTAACGCTGTAACACAACTGTCTGTGTCACTAACGCACTGTGTAGTACACTGACACTAACACGCTAACTGTCTGTAACTAACACACTGTGACACTAACACGCTAACTGTCTGTAATACACAAACGCTAACTGTGACACACACACTATGACACTAACGCACTGTGACACAAACACACTCTGTCACTAACGCACTAACTGTCAAAACACACTGTGACACTAACACGGACTGTGACACAAACAACTCTGTCACAAACACACTGTGACACTAACACGCTAACTGTCTGTCACACAACGCACTGTGACACTAACACACTGTGTCACAAACGCACTGTGACACAAACACGCAGTCAATAACGCACTGTGACTCAAACACTGTCACAAACACGCACTGTGACACACTAACACTCAGTCAATAACGCACTGTGACTCAAACACTCTGTCACAAACTGCAACTGTGACACAACACACTGTGACACTAACACGCTAACTGTCTGTACTACTGTCACAAACGCACTGTGACAACAAACTGTCTGTAACACTGTCTGTGACACACACTGTGACACTAACGCACACTGTGACAAACGCGCTCAGTCACAAACGCACTGTGACACTGTGGATACAACACTCTGTCACAAAACGCACTGTGACACTAAGGCACTGTGACACAAACACACTGTGACACTAACGCACTGTGACACAAACACTCTGCCACAAACACACTGTGACACAAACACTCTGTGACACTAACGCACTGTGACACTAACGCACTGTGACACAAATACTCAGTCACAAACGCACTGTGACACTAACACTCTGTCACAAACGCACTGTGACACTAAGGCACTGTAACACAAACACACTGTGACACTAACGCACTGTGACACAAACACTCTATCACAAACGCACTGTGACACAAACACTCAGTCAATAACGCACTGTGACTCAAACACTCTGTCACAAACGCACTGTGACACAAACACACTGTGACACTAACACACTGTGACACTAACGCACTGTGACACAAACACTCAGTCACAAACGCACTGTGACTCAAACACTCTGTCAGCAAACGCACTGTGACACAAACACTCAGTCACAAACGCACTGTGACTCAAACACTCTGTCACAAACGCACTGTGACACAAACACACTGTGACACTAACGCACTGTGACACAAACACTCTGTCACAAACGCACTGTGACACAAAGTCACAAACGCACTGACACAAACACACAAACGCACTGTGACACTACACGCACTGTGACACAAACACTCTGTCACACAAACACTGTGACACAAACACTCTGTGACACTAACGCACTGTCACACTAACTAAACGCACTGTGACACTAAACGCACTGTGACACAAACACTCTGTCACAAACGCACTGTGACACTAAGGCACTGTGACACAAACACACTGTGACACTAACGCACTGTGACACAAACACTCTGCCACAAACGCACTGTGACACAAACACTCTGTGACACTAACGCACTGTCACACAAACACGCTAACTGTCTGTAATACTACCACACTAATACTCTGTGTCACTGACACTACCCACCTCGAATGTGCTTGTACTGGGTCAGAACCGACACAAGTAGTACCGATAACAGTCTGTAAGGGAACAACAGTACATTAAAAACAACGTATGCATCTCAAATTAACACATTACGTATCGTTTGAGATTCTCTCCATGATAACAGAATTTAATCACGTAACTTTGGCACAAGTCTCATCGAGTTTCTTCTGGTATTTTTTTACAGTTTCGGTTGGTTCACTCGAAGACTATTTTGGATTTGCTTGAATGTAATCTACAAACCTACTTGGATTCTCGCCAAGTGATTCACTCTGAAAGTAATCTGGTATGGCCCACATTCCCGTCTATACATAGATGAATGTTTATGTTATGTATTTTCTGGGCTTATGGTACGATGTAATCTGACGCAGCATCAAAGTCTGGGAACGCCCTGACCCATCGCCTGCAGGAGAGGTCAATGATCCATATCTCTCTCCCTCGTGACTTCCTTCAACGGTGCAGTGATGTAACCTTGCAAAACGTTTTAAGTCTTCACTCTATCTACTCAGTTGTACCAGCTTTCCGTCTATGTCGTCACTTAGACTAAGGCTTAGTCTCTGAATATATATAATTTTGATAGTAACAAACAAGCCCATTTATATTGAAAAGGAGCCCTAGGGAGACCAGAGATTTAGATTCCTGAACCTGAGGAAATCTAGACTTGCTTTATTTAGGGCTTTAGCACTGCAGAGAGGGCTTGGCAGTAGGGAAATTAATGTGGTTCAGGGACTGTGAGACAGACTAGTCGTCACTCTATCAACTCAGTTGTACCAGCTTTCCGTCTATGTCTTCACTCTATCAACTCAGTTGTACCAGCTTCCCGTCTATGTCTTCACTCTATCACTTCAGTTGTACCTGCTTTACATCTTTGTCTTCACTCTATCTACTCAAATGTACCAGCTTCCCGTCTATGTCTTCACTCGTTCTACTCAGTCGTACCAGCTTCCCGTCTATGTCTTCACTCTATCACCTCAGTTGTACCAGCTTTCTACATCTATCTACTCAGTCTTCACTCTATGTCTTCACTCTTTCTACTCAGTCGTACCAGCTTCCCGTCTATGTCTTCACTCTATCACCTCAGTTGTACCAGCTTTACATCTTTGTCTTCACTCTATCTACTCAGTTGTACCAGCTTCCCGTCTATGTCTTCACTCTATCACCTCAGTTGTACCAGCTTTACATCTTTGTCTTCACTCTATCTACTCAGGTGTACCAGCTTCCCGTCTATGTCTTCACTCTATTTACTCAGTCGTACCAACTTAACGTCTATGTCTTCACTCTATCTACTCAGGTGTACCAGCTTCCCGTCTATGTCTTCACTCTATCTACTCAGTCGTACCAGCTTCCCGTCTATGTCTTCACTCTATCTACTCAGTTGTACCAGCTTCCCGTCTATGTCTTCACTCTATCACCTCAGTTGTACCAGCTTTACATCTTCAATGTCTTCACTCTATCTACTCAGTTGTACCAGCTTCCCGTCTATGTCTTCACTCTATCACCTCAGTTGTACCAGCTTTACATCTTTGTCTTCACTCTATCTACTCAGGTGTACCAGCTTCCCGTCTATGTCTTCACTCTATCACTTCAGTTGTACCAGCTTTACATATTTGTCTTCACTCTATCTACTCAGGTGTACCAGCTGTCCGTCTATGTCTTCACTCTATCTACTCAGTTGTACCAGCTTTCCGTCTATGTCTTCACTCTATCTATTCAGTTGTACCAGCATTCCGTCTATGTCTTCACTCTATCTAAGATATAGAGAGATTTATATAGTGCCAATATCCATATGTGTCCTGCTCAAAGGTACTCAGATGTACCAGCTTTCCGTCTATGTCTTCATTCTATGTACTCAGATGTACCAGCTTTCCGTCTATGTCTTCACTCTATCTACTCAGATGTACCAGCTGTCCGTCTATGTCTTCACTCAATCTACTCAGTTGTACCAGCTTTACGCCTGTCTTCACTTCTACTCAGCTGTATAATGTTTGGGTGAGGTATATCAACGAAACAAGCTTGAAACCATCCGCCAATTTTCTAGGGGCGTGAACTCTGGAAATTTAGGAATGATGATATCTTTGTTTTCTTTTGAAGGTGTTCTTGTTTCTGGTGAACATGAGCTTCAATATCCTTTTGAACCTGGTGTGAACACGTAACAAGCATCTTTATGTGTACTGGTTGAAAATGCGGTTATCTCTCCATGCCGTGGAGTGCCTGCAAACATTGACTCAGATCCTAGGAAGACGGAGGGACCCCCTGGTGAAACAACACTTCAGACGAACCACCATGACGCATATCAAGAGCATTGTAAGAAAGTCTGCCGGAAGTGATTGTTGTGTATCAGTGAACGGGCTTAAACAAGCGTTATAGCCAGGGATGTAACGTCATGGGCTTTGCTCTCAATAAACTGGCACGTGGAACTATGGCTGATAAACATTAACAACCCATGTTTATAGAAATCTGATCATGGTTTTTTTGTTTACATGTCATGATGCATCCCCGGTATATATGACATGATGTTTCCGATGTTTGTACATGTTTCCTGTTTATTTATAGTAACATTTTCTCCGCTTTGATGCCATAATGTTTCCTCTGTTTACATATGGTGTTTCTTTAGTCTATATTCCTGAATGCCTCTTCTGTTTATGTCATAATGTTTCCTCTGTTTACATATGGTGTTTCTTTAGTCTATATTCCTGAATGCCTCTTCTGTTTATGGCATAATGTTTCCTCTGTTTACATATGGTGTTTCTTTAGTCTATATTCCTGAATGCCTCTTCTGTTTATGTCATAATGTTTCCTCTGTTTACATATGGTGTTTCTTTAGTCTATATTCCTGAATGCCTCTTCTGTTTATGTCATAATGTTTCCTCTGTTTACATATAGTGTTTCTTTAGTCTATATTCCTGAATGCCTCTTCCGTTTATGGCATAATGTTTCCTCTGTTTACATATAGTGTTTCTTTAGTCTATATTCCTGAATGCCTCTTCTGTTTATGTCATAATGTTTCGTCGGTTTATCTATGATGTTGCCTTGTTTATTTGTCATTATGTTTCCTATGTGTACATGCCATAACGTTTCCTCTAGTTATATATCATGTTTCCTATGGTTACATTCCACAATGTCTCCTCTAGATCTGTTCAAAACATGACGTTACCTCTTTTATTGATTATGTTTCCTCTGTTTATATAGCATGTTTCCACCGTTTATGTGTCATGCTGTTTCCTCTGTTTATGAATCATCATGTTTCATGCACATATATCACGGTTTCAACAGTGTTCATATCGTGTTTCCTCTGTTAACATAATCTCCTTTTTATATGTCACACTGTTTCCTCTGTGAATATATTATTTGTTATCTGTTTATGCAGCATAATGTTTCCCATGTTTATATATTATTGTTTACTCTGTTCATGTCATGTTTCCTTAGTTCATATGTCCGAATGTTTCATCTACATACCATTATGTTTCCTCTGTTAACATATCATTATGTTTCCTCTGTTTACACATCATTATTTCCTCTGTTTATATGTCATGTTTACGCTGTTGATATGTCATGTTTCCTCTGTTCATATGTCCGAATATTTCATTTACATACCATTATGTTTCCTCTGTTTACACATCATTATTTCCTCTGTTTATATGTCATGTTTACGCTGTTGGTATGTCATGGTTCTTTTGTTTATATGTCCAAATGTTTCATCTAAATATCATTATGTTTTCTCTGTTTACATATCATTATGTTTCTTCTGTTTGTGCATCATGTTTCCTCTGTTTATATGTCCAAATGTTTCATCAATATATCATTATGTTTCCCCTGTATATATGTCCAAATGTTTCATCAATATATCATTATATTTTCCCTGTTTATATGTCCAAATGTTTCATCTATATATCATTATGTTTTTTCTGTTTACATAGCATTGTTTCCTCTGTTTATATGTCATGTTTCCTCTGTTTATATGTCCGAATGTTTAGTCTTTTATTTATTCTAAAGTTTCCTTTCTTACAATGGCTACATGTTTCTATAATGTTTAGATGTTTCTGTAACCTATATAGTTAGATCCAGATATGTTCAAGTACGTTATAATCTGATTTTGATTATGGCACTATATCTATATATATATGTACTGGCGTTTGGTAGCAAAATGTAACGAGGGTTGTCAATCGGTCTGTCACCATGAGCAAAGGGTTGTAATACACCTGGTGATTACATGTAGGTTCACTCAGTGCACCGACCTCAAAGCACTGGCACGGAAGAGAAAGGTGCATCCGCCTGTATGAGTACTTCCGTCCTTGCAAACTCACCATGAACTGGGCTGGTTCTGTTTGGTGGTGCACGTGCAGAGCACAAGCAGATTACCGACTTACCTCAGGAGCGCCATGCTGTGGTTTGCGGATGGTGTTACAGGAGGGTTGTGTTATTGTTGGCTCTGGTTTGCAGGGGAATGGTCGGGACATATGGATGCACTTTGTTCAAGAAGAATTTTCTTGTGTTTTCTTTTCATTTGCAAAGTAAACATGAATGTCTTCCTACTTTTGATCCAAGTGTAGATAATGTGCATTCCAGCTATTGGAATTGACGCTCCTTAGGAATATAAAGTAATCATGCAAGTGTGTTATCTCTGAACATGTTTAAATTTACTTAATAGATTTCAACTCCGCACGATCATTCCACGCCATGCCCTCACAGGAAGCTAATTATGCACACATAGTTCATACCATTTTACTTTACTAATGGTGTAGCCAATTCAATGTGGATCTTCCCCTGTGAGTAAATAAGAGGTACGACTATCAGGCATAACACAATAGCGATAACAGAATAAAGGCATTCATATATCGACAGTCGTGCGGGGATGCTTCTCTCTGTTTTTGTTACACAATATCTTTCTCCGCGCTTGTTAAAGTAATGGTATGGTAATCGTAATGTCAAATGTGGGATAACGCAAGCTATTGGAGTCCTTCTGCCTTTTAATAATCTAGGTCGTTTTTTTCCGAAAGTCCTTACATTTCGCATTCCTTGAGCAGAACCACTTGCCGTTCTCAGATCTGTCTGTCTGGAGCCGTCTTCAAACTCTCATTACACAAGCCGAGGGTGAGGTGTCGATATCATTAGGGGTAAATCATTTAACACGTGTCCAGCTCCGGGCATGGCGGGGGATTCAGTGTTTGTAAGGGGGGGAATGTTGATATGCACTCACTTGACCAACAGCAGCTCCGATGGCTTTATTGAAATGACCATTCGCATTCGAAGTACGGAATATAAAAAGTTCAATTTTTTTCTTTGTAATATATTCTATAATTATGTATCTTTACAAGGTGTATTAAGTTTAAATGTTTCAAAACTTATGCAGCTGAAAGGTTAAAGTGTTTAAAGTATATGCAGTTGCAATGTTTCATATATACTTTGGCTTGATTTGTAAAACAGAACAGATTTAACCGTTTATGTATATTTTCATAGAATAGGGACATGAAGTGATCTTTGATAACGGTTTTGATTGAAATGTTGAACAATGGGACAGGCTGTTGAAGGCTGTATGCACTGTGTCAGTGAGTGAGGGAGCGTAGGTGCACTACTGACATCACTTGTATGTTCAGCCGTTTTACCGTGCACATTAGGTTCACATAACGGATTTCCCCGCCACTGCGTTGTTTCGTTTCGACCAGTTAGAGTCAGGATTGAACAAACTGGAACCATCTTTAGAATGTTTATATAAAATTATTTTTGAAGAAAAGCAATTGTAACATAACATGATACTGTACGTGACATATTCTGTAAGATATGAAAAAATAAATAGCACTTACCTCCAAGTAAACATATTCACGGTGATGACTTAAAGAAATAAAGTTGAATCGTCCAATGTTTGACTGAAGTGTCCAGAGGCCCCACGTTTGATTATGCGGTCAATGTATTGGGCAGATCAGCTACAACCACAACATCGTCTGTTGCTACAACCACAACATCGTCTGTTGTAATAAACCATACAGCACCGTTTCTGATAACTTTATAAGCTAGTAGGCATCACTTGAATAACACCTTCCTCGTAAATTATGTACTGGCCGAGCACGCGGAACACATCAAAGGGGAGGTAAGCGATGTTGGAGGTAGTGATATATGCAATGTCAATCTGTCAGTGAAGGATCAGTTTCTTCAACGATGGAGTAAGAATAGTTTACAAGCGTCAATACACGTGGAGATCATCAGCGGAATGGTAGAAGTAATATACATGAATAAAACTTCACAATCACTGACAAATGTTGGAATTCGTGCACAGTTGGTGTATCGCTGTGAGAATGGGGGGTGATGCAATTGTAGAGGTGCTATAAGAAGGTGACGCAATACTTTCACAAGCCGTATGTACTGGAAGCCAAGATACACGAAGACGGATTTTTCGGAATGCTACAGTAAGGAAGTCCCCAGTCAAAGGATCCAGCTTGCTCTTAATGCGGAAATGGATATCCGATCATGGCATCTTTTAGAGAAGTAGGATCTGTTGAAGGTTACACGGCTCGACGGAAGTCAAGACCGTTGCGCGCGACCTGACACACCTCGGCCGAATATTGTGGGGTAGTGTGTGTACAGAAGGTTACAGGGTGTGGGTGGTGCGTTTAGACGGGAGGTTATTGGTATGTATTATGTCAGACACACGTGTCTTAAGACACCACGTGTTGATGTCGTTAAGCCCTCGTCGTGTTGCAAGTCATGTACGTGAACCAAAGATCGTGTTGTAGGTAATGGGCGATCAGACAGACATGCACATGGGGTTATATAGAACGTTTACGGTTCAGTATAAACTTCTAGTCACTATAAATAAAGTCTCTCTGATGTTGTTGTTGTTGTTTTACATGTTTCAACGATGCTGATGCTGAAGGTATCACGTTGGCTTATTTAAAATTTTGCAATTAATCTGCCATGAATATCATAAATTCTCTTTCTGCTGAAAGTATACTGGCATCGCATTATTGCAACATATATTTTGCAGCAATATAATGTACATACAATGTACAATAGGTTTCACATACTGTACACACAATAGGCTAATGGAATCGATCCAGGGTCGAGCTAGAGGGTTAACCCCACAACCCAATCACCCTCAAATAATGAAAATATATACTTTATAATAAATATCAAAATCTTTGACACCTCGATCGATGGGCAATATCAGTGATGACACGAACATCTTAGACACTTTGATCCTTAGTCTACACATTGTGTAAGAGGGGTGTCATGTGGACCCTTGTGATGTTCAGTTCAAGCTGCGTCTGAAACACACGGTGACTTAATGAATCAGTCTGCTGTATATCACCCTATTTCTTAATCGGCGGCAACTGCATCAACGTGTCAGTTTACGACATGGCCGCGGCGCTCTGCACTCAGTAATGCCCAAAATGTTGTCACTGCGTTGTTTCGTTTCAACCAGTAAGGGTCAGGATTGAACAAACTGGAACCTTCTTTAGAATGGATTATATAAAATTCTTTTTGACGGAAAACAATTATAGCATAACATGATATCGTACATGACATATTCTGATCTAAAAAGATAAATAGCACTTACCTCCAAGTAAACATATTCACTGCGATGACTTAAAGAAATAAAATTGAATCGTCCAATGTTTGACTGAAGTGTCCAGAAGCCACACGTTGACGTGCTTTCATCCAAGCCCGACGGAGACAAACGATGCAGCTACTTTGATATGTAAATAGAGATTATTACACGAGCATGTGAGGCATACGACTTATACGAAACTCGTGCAAAATTATGTAGAAACTTTCACAATCGTTTCGTATGTCACACTTGCGAGCGTAATAATTTCTTTATTATCTATTTTATTTATGTACATTTTCGCAGTAAAACACGGCAAGCAAGTGTGACTGTCCTCTTCATTGACGTCATGTTCAATTGTTTAATGACGTCACAGACGACAAAATACAAAAACAATGGTTGCTAGGCAAAAGTGATATGTACACATGTGCACGTATTGAAAATATGACATGACTTATGTCAGGGCTCCAGATAATGACCGTATCGTCGAGGGTACGGATAAAAAATTATGCAAGATAAGTGTTCATATCTGCTTCTGTGTCCCATATTTGAATTTACGTGATAGCAACACATTGGGGTTTCCGTTGTCGTGTTTTTGGAATCCCGGGTGCTATGGCGATGGTCTGTACCAGACCAAGTTGGATGCGACAAGCGTGGGTAACTGTAGATCAATTCTAACTCGGATCTTCACAGGTCCCAGCGGTACAGAACCATCAAGAAAGTCCACCTTGGCATTGAGATTATGTCATCAACCTTGGCATGTTAAATGAACAGTGGAAATCCCAGCTTTCAGCCACGAGCCTTGACATGTTCCACAAGACGATCATCAGACAAATACATGGGTCCTAACGCCCACAATAACATCCTGCCATGAAGTGTCGTCCACGCAAAGCAAACCTTCCCCTCCCCTTATAAATAACAAATATAAGCGATTGACGGAAGATCTGATGTCTGACATTTTTTCGCGTGAGGGTATCCCTAACCTGCTTTTTTGTCTCGTCCAAACACAAGACTACGATAGGGAGGGGAAATCTTCGCTATTTCATCATGACTTAAATGTATATGTAATTATAATTCATAATTCATATGGCAAATATGGATTTCCTGTGAAATTACCTTATTAAGCTAATTACGATCGAAAGGTGAATATGCCTTTGCTGTAATACATCCAACAATTTTACAAACGATGATTCACGAATCTTTGTGAGTAGAAATGACATGGTTATATTGTGAGCAGCTATAGATTAAGGCCGTGGGTTACGTTTGACCTAGACAAACGCCTAGTCTCTGAATGCATATATCTGAATGCATATAATTTTGATAGTAACAAATAAACCCATTCAAACTGAAAAGGACTGCAGTGAGTAGGGAGATTCAAACCTGAGGAAATCTAGACTTGCTTCTTTTAGGGCTTTAGCATTGCAAGGAGTGCTGGGCAGTACGGAAAATACTATGTTTGAGGGACAGATCACTGCATTGTCTGGTCCAGACTAGATTATTTACAAAGCGCCGCCATATAGCTGGGCTATTGCTTAGGACGGTGTTGAACAACCAGCAAAATAGTAGTGTAACTATCTAACATCTAGTCTCTGAAATGAACATATTTTACAAAAGAAATGTTCATAAAAAACAATCATAGAGTATAATGAAAAGGAGCCCATGAAGCAGATGAATCTGTCGTTAAAAAGTGATAGGGCTAATTTCAGAGGTCATCGACCTAACAGTCGACGAAGCCACCATCAGTGAAACGCAAATATCATATGTCAAATATACTGTTCTTTCCTCAGGTTGAAGGTAAATGGAAATATGTTATGAAAATAAGCGCCAGGCTGACATTCTTGCAAGGACGTTTACCGAGATATCTATATGATATTTGCGTACAAATTCAAGCATCAATCTCTCAAAGATAAAACCAAGTCATCGTTTTGCAACCAGAGTTGTAAGGCAGCTACAGGGGTCGGTGTCGGCTTATGACCGTTGCGATAGCGCCGGTCTGCTCTCCTGGAGCGGAACCTGAGATAGCGGCAAGTGGGCAGAGGCAGGTGGAAGTGTCAGGGACGGGCATTCACCCGCACACACAGGATATGATGCAACTCAACTCGGTGGAGGTATATAAGGCGGAGAGAGAGAGGCCATCATATGCTTGTATTTTGATTATGGTTCATTTAAATGTGAACTAAGTAGTTCGCCAATAGACCCATGTTATGTTCTTATATGTTCTTATTATAACTCGTTCATTTGTCTTGTTAATGCACAGATTCTTCGTAGAACAATGAATACATGTGACATACCGCAGCGGCATGTTTGTGTGACAAGTGACAAACCGTAACGGCATGTTTGTGTGACAAACCGTAACGGCATGTTTGTGTGACAAAACCGTAACGGCATGTTTGTGTGACAAACCGTAACGGCATGTTTGTGTGACAAACCGTAACGGCATGTTTGTGTGACCAGTGACAAACCGTAACGGCATGTTTGTGTGACAAACCGTAACGGCATGTTTGTGTGACCAGTGACAAACCGTAACGGCATGTTTGTGTGACCAGTGACAAACCGTAACGGCATGTTTGTGTGACACACCATAACAGCATGTTTGTGTGACAAACCGTAACGGCATGTTTGTGTGAACAGTGACAAACCGTAACGGCATGTTTGTGTGACAAGTGACAAACCGTAACGGCATGTTTGTGTGACAAACCGTAACGGCATGTTTTGTGACCAGTGACAAACCGTAACGGCATGTTTGTGACAAACCGTAACGGCATGTCTGTGTGACAAACCGTAACGTGACAAAAACCGTAACGCATGCATGTGTTTGTGTGACAAACCGTAACGGCATGACAGTGACAAACCGTAACGGCATGTTTGTGTGACAAACCATAACGGCATGTTTGTGTGACCAGTGACAAACCATAACGGCTTGTTTGTGTGACAAACCATAACGGCATGTTTGTGTGAAAAAAAGTAACGGCATGTTTGTGTGAACAGTGACAAACCGTAACGGCATGTTTGTGTGACGTGTGACAAACCGTAACGGCATGTTTGTGTGACAAACCGTAACGGCATGTTTGTGTGACCAGTGACAAACCGTAACGGCATGTCTGTGTGACCAGTGACAAACCGTAACGGCATGTTTGTGTGACACACCATAACGGCATGTTTGTGTGACAAACCGTAACGGCATGTTTGTGTGAACAGTGACAAACCGTAACGGCATGTTTGTGTGACCAGTGACAAACCGTAACGGCATGTTTGTGTGACCACTGACAAACCGTAACAGTGACAACACGTAATGAAGTGTTTCTTTTTCCAGTGACAACATGCTTCTTGGACCAATGGACAACCACCGGTACCGCTCGGCTGGTGAATAGAAAACAGATTCTACAAATTACTATAATTGAGGAGCATAGAGAATCTCACCCAAGTGTTTACTGATATCAATTTATCAACGAGTGTTGATATAATTGATATCAGTAGACACGAGGGTGAGATTCTATTTATCATCAAAAATCATTCTTCATTAGTTTTTAATGAAAAATGTACATCTCTCAACACTGTACTACCATTAGACTTGCAGTGCAGAGATGTCAAAGCATTGTGAGGTCATCAAGTTGATGACGTCATAGCATTGTCAGGGCATTGTACAAAATCTACTGTCAAA